ACATGGCGCGCAGACCTCTCCTGCCGCCCGCTGCTCCCCTCAGCAGTGTACTTCGGTCCTGCCTGCTCTGCTCCCTGCTCTGCCTCTGGTGAATTCTCTCACCCTCCCGCGCTTCTGACTGTACCCAGTGCTTGTATAAATAAATAAATAAATAAATAAATAAATCTTTAAAAAAAAAAAAAAAAGAAAGAAAGAGAGCGAGAACAAGAGAGAGCAGGAGGGAACAAATGAGTGAAAGGAGAGTTATTTTAAGGAATTGGTTCACAGGACTGTGGAGCCTAATGGGCAAAATTGGAAGGGCAGGCTGGCAGACTTCTAATTCAAGATTTATTGTTCCAACTCGTGAATCAACTGGTAAATGTGAGGACTGGAAACTCAGGCAGAATCTCTATCTTGCCAACTGGGGACAGAATCCCTTCCTCTTTGGGGAATCTCAGTCTTTGCTCATAAGATCTTCAACTGATTGAAGAGGCTCACCCATATTATGGAGAGTAATCTGTTTTGCTCAAAGCCTGTAATTTAAGTGTTAGTCATTTCTGAAAAATCCCATCACAGTGACTCTAGACTGGTACGTGACCAAGCATCTGGGCATCATCATCAAACCGAGTTGACACATAAAATGAACCATCACAGTTACTCTGAGGGAAGGTTCTGAGACGTGGTTCTATACTGTCTGGTGCCCATACAATGTAAGAAGGAGCTCTGGTTGCCCGTTTCTGCGAGGCGCTGTAATGGAATCTTCCCTCTGCAGTGCTGTTGCTTCTACCTCAAATGACCCTCTTGTGTAAGGTAGTAAGCACTCTGAAAAGGACAGGTTGGAGCTATTTGACCTGTTAATAAAAAAGTGCTTAATAAAGTTCTGTGTTCATGACCAAATTTGATAGAAGATTTGCTTTCTTTACAAATGGGGAACACAGTTGTAGGGAAGTAGTTCATCCGTATTTACCTCAATATTTCAATAACTGTCATCACCTACAAAGAACCTAAGAGCTGTGCATGATGACCAAATTGACTTGTCAGTTCATAATAATGGTGATATGTAGTTTCATATTAGATCAGGAATGCTCACATCTCACCCTTCCATTTAAATCAGGTTTGTCTGCTCAAATGTCATCTTTTCCAAACAGCCTTCTTTGATGAATCTAACTAAATTAGCCAGTGGAGACCAGCAGGCGCTCGCACACACATGCGTACACACACACACACACACATACACACCTCACACATATTCCATTAGCTGTGGATTATGTCCAAATCCTGCTTCATTCTTCTTATTGGCACTTATCAAAACTGAATTATATTTAGCAGCATGTTTATTTTTTTTTCTCCTCTGCCAATATTGAGCATCATTAGGGCAGATAATGTACTCATTGTTGTATCCCTAGAACATGGAACTACACTGGGCATCTGCTACAAGTTAGTCATTATGTGTTGACTGGACAAATAGGTGAACTTATGTAAAAATCTACACCTGTCAGGTGGCAGGTATGGGGCACTAGTACTTAAAAGCACAAAAGAGGTAGTTTAAAACAAGTGGCCCTCCATCAACTTTTGGTCCTGTAGCTCTGCCTTGCCACCCTCTCCCTTACCATCCTCATCTCCTTGAACAAGCGGATCCAAGGTCTTTCACATTAACTAAGTTAGGTTTCACTTTTGGTCCCCAAGGAATGGTTTCTCTAGCCAGCCCAAATCTATGAGAAGTTTAGCAAGTGTTTGCTTCCATGTCAAGTGACATGTTTTGAGTCTTCATGGGTCAGTTGGTGTGCCTCAACAGGAGCACTGAAATACAGTGACAGGTTACTAATTAAAAGGACAAGGCCTAGGGAGTGGGGTGGTTGCTAAGGAGAAAGAATGTGCTAAATAAATTGATAATGCAAATAAAACTCCAGATGATATTTTCAGTCCACAGAGAAGAACGCTATGTTTTCAAATATTGCTTAAGTAGATAAGAAGCGACAACTTATCTAGCAAAAAAAAAGTGATATGTCAAATACAAACCATTCTTCATTAAAGCAATTTTCCAAGTTTTGATATCAGGCAGCAGTTTGCTAATCCAGTTGTAAAAAAAAAATTAAAAGAAAGGCAGAATCTATAGATCTATATCTTTAGCTAGTTCTTATCTCCCAGAATGAGTCTGAATAAAGTTCTCACTTTCAGCACCAACAAAACAATAGCAAGATGTGTGACTGATTTGGTAATGGTAGTGATGATGGTGGTGGTGCTGGCGGTGGTGCTGGTGGTAGTGGTGGTGGTGGTGGTGGTGGTGATGGTAGGAGGGGAAGTTGTATTGATGGTAGTGATGGTGGTGGCTGTGGTGGTGGTGGTTACTTACACCCCTGAGCCTTTCCAATGGCTCACAGACCCTGAGAGATGAACTATTGAGGTTCCTTTTCTCCCAGATCTCGTTATGGTTGTCTCATCACAAGTTCAGGTTTTATAGAATGTGTTTGGATTGGCAGCTGTGCAGGGTTGACCTTCTGCCAATAGGTCCTTGCCTTTGCTGGGCTTAGATTTGGAGAAATGTTGCCATCTAGTGCCCCGCAGGAGTCTTAATTCTTTAAGTCAAATAAACCGGTCTCCCTCTGCCTAATTCCCATACCCTCCCTCCCAGATAAGAGGTCAGACACACCACAGGCCAGTGCTAGTGAGTACTGCCTGAGCTACAGTGGAAACCATGGAAATGTCTCTATAAGCTTTGTTTTTTTAACCTCTTTTCTCTTTAGAAAATTTACAAAGAGAAAGAGCTAGACAGAGGCAAAGGAATTGCAACAGAAATAAGATTTAGTAATGAGTTAAGATTTACATATACTGTGGATAGCATATTAAACTCAGCAAGGAATGGGGAAGAGCAATTAAGGCAAGCTCCAGATACAACAGTGAAATAAGGAAGTTATTGGTGTGGATTCCACATGTACTTTGGGTCACTGTCCTCCTAAACCTCTTATGCCCCTCCAGGCCCAACAGTCTGTAAACCTTCACACCCTCGCCCATTTAAAGCTATCAGTCTGTTCCCTCAAGTCTGTCCTCTTTGTTTTCTGCAGTAACAGCTAGCTAAATCCATCAGCTACTTTGTACTCTGTGTTCTTGAGCTTCCCCTGTCAAGTAGAAAAGGTCTATTTTTAATGGAAACCTTCAATGACTTAGCAATGATGAGCTTTTCTATTTTGTGGCAAGTGGCAAGCCAGGCTGGTGGAAGAGATGCTTTAGACAGAAAGCATTCTCTTATCTCTCTCAAATGCCAGGCCTTCTCAACCTTCAACCATGACTTTGTCCTTCAGGTTGCATACATGCTGATTTGCATTCCCAGATTATTGATTTGCTCAATACAAGCTTCCCTGCTTGTCTGTTAGCTTCATAGGGGCAAGCATCAGGTCTGTTTTGTTCACCACCAATTGCCAAGTGTCTCGCACTGTGCCTGGCCAATAGGCACACTCTAACAAGCAACAGCCTGGTGTGCACCTTTAGGGATACTTGGTTTAGCGAGTGGAAACCCAGAAGCATAGTACACAACACCAGCACCATGGAGTCAAAAGGGATGCATTACGTCACCCATCTTGTGATTTTCAAGCTGTTTAACCCCAAAGCCTTCAGTTCACTTGAAATCTTAAGTTGGGGCCCTCTCCCCCTTTTTGAAGAGAGCCCTTTTCACTATTTCCTTCATCCCCTTCCACTGGGTTTGAAACAGCTGATCAAATACCATTATTTTAAAGAGAAAGAATACCATGGAAAGCAGAGAAATGTAGAAAGCTGACAAGGTGAGAGACAGGAGAAAAAGAGTGTATGTCACAGTGGAAATTGCTTTGTCATATTTTCCCATCACAGCTCCTCACTGTAATTCAAGAACACCCATGAAGACTTGTTCTCCCTCGTCCAGGAATTCAGTGTGAGAAATATTCAGGCTGGACAGGAAACAAAAGAAACTGGAAGGGGTATCAGGGGGGTGATGTGGAAAAGGAACCGTGTGGCTGGAGGAGGTGGCTCTGAGGACCCTGATGATTTAGAGGGTTGTAGACTGTAAAGGGTCCATCTGGGAAATAGCGGCCACGTTGAGACACTGAGGACAAAGGCCTTTTTGTCCTTTGCCACCCGTCAGGCAGTGCTTTTCTGAGCAGCTCTAATTATAAATCCCTGTCCTGCTAAGATGGGTAAACTTGGCAGCATTTGAGATCTGCCTTGTGTCTTAACTATTTCTCAGTTGGTTTCGGTTTGGCAAAACCCCAAATGCATTTTGCCAAGCACTCTTTCCCTTAATTTCTAATCCCCTGAGTGGCTTAAGGGAAATTTCATCCATATGTTTCTGAGTCATTTACTGTGAACTCATCTTTTGGTAAAAAGAAATATGTTCTCAAGTCAGCACAGTCCAAAGAATAGCACATTTTTAGACTGAAATGGGTCATGCTTTCTTTGGAAAGAATTTCCTGAATTTTCTGAGTACAAGGATTGAAGAAGAGCAGGATATCCTGTTCTCATTTTCCTCCCCACTCTGCATGTCCTTTTTTAATGATAACTTGAAAATTTGTTCTATTGTTTATGAAGCTGGTGAATGCCATACTTGCATTAAGGTCTAAACAAGCTTTATAGACTTGCACTTTTCAATACAAATTCTCATTTTTAAACTATGTTGGTAAAGAAACAGCAATTATTGAACACACACTACATGACCGGTGTATCTCAACAGTCTGGTGAGACAGATAGGGATCTCATGTATAAGGAATCTGAGATCAAAAATATTAAGTAACTAAAGAAGTTGTGTACTTATACAAAGACAAAGTCAGAATTCAAGTCTAGGACTGTCTGACTCCCAAGTTCATGTCTTTCTACCTGTCCTTGTTCAATCCTGTGTACAGAGGGGAGGCCAACACATGCAAGTTGACAGTCATGATGGAACTAAGGATGGTTTCCAGGCAGACATTCTTTGTAAAGTGAACAGGGACTAGACTTGACATTATCACAAAATATTTATCCTCTCTTTCATTGCCTCTGAAGAGTTTGGGACCCACCTTACTCACTCTGGTGAGATGTCACTCATGGAAGTTGTCAGTCTTGAGTTGAAGTCTTCCAATATGACTACCATGATGACGAGCCTTCAGGTATAACTACCAGCTTTCAGGATCTACTGGTAATAGAGGTAAACAGTACCTTGGGGATGCAATTGGCAAAATCCAGGATGTTGAAAATTCTGTAAGACAAAGAACACAGCTTCTTCAATAAATAAATGGCAAAAAAGAAAAAAGAGGGCAAGGAGGCCTAGATGCTAGAAAAGACAAGGGACATGTTAACTGAATGCAGTATGTGGATCTTATTTTGATGCTGATTTGAATGAACAAAAAAAAAAAGAAATTGGGGATAATCAGGGAAATTTGAGCACTGCCTGAATATTTTCTATTTGTTGTCATTTTTAGATGTGATGATGGTATTTTGATTATGGTTAAAAAAGATACTTTATCTCTTAGCAATACTGCTTAAGTATTTACAATATGAAACAATATGATATCTTGGACTTGGTTTAAAGTAATCTGGGGTGCAGTGGAAGGGAGAATGGGGAGGGGGAACAAATGAAAAGAGATTGGCTATGTGTGAATATCGACTGAGGCTGGCTGATTGGTGCATAGGGTTTATTGTATTAGAAAGACATTCATATGTTTGAAAATGTCCATAGTATAAAGTAGTAAGATCAAAGTTATTCTCATCAATTTAAAATTTCCCCTTTTCACCCACACTTGCTATTAATCTTTCCAATAACTCTATGAGGTTCTGACATGAACATGCTATGGGTTTTTGTGATGGCTGTGGTGGTGTAAATGAAAGAATGAAGCAAGGGAGGGAAGCAGAGAAAAAGGGAGGAAGAGAGAAGATGAGCCACCGAAGAGAAGAGAAGGAATTTCTTAACAAAGAGAGCCAAGTTCCTTAAGATTCATGTCCCAAAATGCACAAAACATGGGGTTCAAACTTGGCCACTCACCTCTCCAATGTTCTGATTGTAGAGCTATAGTGTAAGTGTGGGCATGGGTATGAGAACTTTCAAAGGTAAGGTGAGACTTCACCTTGGCTTTTTGTCATCTTGATGTTGGCATTTTAAATCTGCGCTGAATAATCTACACCATCAGTTACTTTGGTCAGCAAAAGCAGACCAAAAAGCTTGTGAGGTTGGTTTTTTTTTTAATAATTCTCAGATGTTGCGTTCCTAAAGTTACTGAGTAAACAACTTTGAGTGAGTTTAGGCTGATGGCAAAGTATTCCCTCCCCAGCGTCATGTGAAAATGACAGTAGGAACATTAAATTATTTTGTATGGCATCATCAATTTTCTTTTGTAGCTTTTTAAATGGACATTTTCTATCACACACAAAGAGGCCATGTGATATGATGTGCCATCCAACATCCAACAGTTGTCTTTAGGCATCTGCTTCCAATGTGCCTTCTTTCCCCCACCCCTGATGGATACTTTTCTGCTCTTTTCCATTTTTATCAATGTGAAATAAATGAAATAAATGAGACACATTGCTCTCTAAATTTAAGGCATATAGCATAATGGCTTGATTGATATATATACAAGTTTAGTTAAATCAATCTATTCAGGGCCTCCCCGGTGGCGCAGCTGTTGAGCGCTGGGTTGCGAAGCTGCCCGCAGCCTCTGCAGTGCCGGTTCGATCCCTGGCTGCTCCCCGGCCACTGGAGGAGGGTCCTGCATGGCGCGCAGACCTCTCCTGCCGCCCGCTGCTCCCCTCAGCAGTGTACTTCGGTCCTTCTGCCTGCTCTGCTCCCTGCTCTGGCTCTGGTGAATTCTCTCGCCCTCCCGCACTTCTGACTGTACCCAGTGCTTGTATAAATGAATAAATAAATCTTTAAAAAAAAATAAATAAATCTATTCAAATAGATATAATCAAAAGAACAGAAAGAAGAAAATGAAAAAGGAAAAAATATTCTCCTTGTGATAAGATCTCTTAGGATTTACTCTCTTGGAAACTTTCCTATATGGATATCTCCTACATTTCTAAAGTTTGTGGTAAGCAACTTCACTTTTTATGAGAGACCTAAATAGTACTTGTTTTGCGAACCAAAAGAAAGTCAAAGAGAATTTTCATATTTATGGCAAAAGTCAAAATGCCAAAACAGCATTTTTGTTTTGCAGCAAGTTGTTCCGGAGTCAGCATGCACCGCCTAGCTCCCTTGCCAGGAACTACCTTATACAGGCTGTGTCCTTTTCATAGCATTCCTGCTTTTACTATATACCAGTGTTATTTTGGGCTTTATGTGTTAGTGGGCCTGATTTGGTGGGTTACTCTTTGGGTCTACGGACACTCAAAATTTTTTCCACGTAAATTACATGGTAATTATTCTTTGCTTTATGCCATTTTGACTTATGACAATTTTCATAGTTCAATTTTTGATATACAGGGAAAACCTGTATATCATCCAATAGAGTTAGCTATAGTCACTACGCTATATATTACATACCTTAGTTATCTTATAAGTGGAAGTTTGGCTGATGGGTTATTTAAAAAAAAATTTAAAGACAAAATTCCAAGCATTATTGTCGTTTCACCTATAGAACTTTTGTATGCACCACTTCTTATTCTTTCAGATTCACAGGATTAATTTCAGATGGGTTTGTAAAGTGAAGGGTCTACCCAGAGATAATGGATCTTGTGGACTGGGAAGCAGGAGTCTGGGGATGGCAGTTGGCAAGAACAGCATGGAAGGAAGATACCAGGTGCTGAGTAAGCACTGAGCCTGGAGTTATGTGTGAGGCTGCAGGGAGGCATTTCCTTATTTGATGTCCAGAAGCAGGAGCGGGGCAAAGGCTGGCTATGAAGAAGAGCGGGATAAGCCCTAGTCTGACGGCCATCTGGGTAGTGTGACATCACCACCTCAACGTTGCCAGGAAGGGCACCACGCCAGGAGAGTCAGAGTTTGAGAGAATGAAACTTGTTCACTTGAACCATCAAAATGTTTCTTTCCATCCAATCTGATGAAAAAAACCTTTCTAAACTGCATTAGTCACTCTTTCTCCTTAAGGAGAGAAGTGCAGAGAACATCTAGCCTTCTCTTGGTGACTTAAAGAGATCCCCATCGAGGACAGTTTTGTGATGACCTCAAATATGCTCAGGCCTCTAGAGATTGCCAAGAATTATTTTATATGTGTACTCCCAAACCAAATGGCCACTAGATTTTTCTTGTCGCTTTAAATGGGAAGAAGTGAAAGTAGAAGAGATGTCTTTTCTCTCCTGCCAGAGGTCCCTCTTTACAGTTATCATTATACCTGCTTCTAATGTGGTGCTGCTGATGGGGCTGTGATGACTGTTACACCTGTGACTCAGGTAAGAGTAAACTGGTTATTGGATGGTCTCACTCATAGCAGGAATTTAGAAAACCTAAATAAGGGACCAGGAAAAAACCTAATTATAATAAAGTAAAAATCAAAATCAACAAGCAACTATAAACCAGAGATACACTACGGGGGAGGGGGAGGGCAGGAGGAAGAGGGAGTTGGAGCAAAACAAGGGGGGTGGGAATTGTATGGGAACTATAACCAAGATAAAAATGCATACCGTGTGCAAAAATGAAAAACAATGTAAAAAATGTTTAAAATTTAAAAAAATGATTTAAAAAAAGAGTAAATTGGCTATGCATGACAGTCCAATGGGCTCACCTCTGAGTAAAGTATGTGGATTTTTTTATGTCCTCAGAGCCTTTTTGTTAATTGTTAGTTACAAGTTGATTCTAGATTGTTTCAGCTGCTGAGTAGGTGATATATTACTCTATATTACTCACTGCTGTTTGACATAAAAACAATAAAAATTAGATCACACGTCAACATCTCCCAGAGATAAGAAAATATGACAAAGCATAAGAGAGGGACAGTAAGTAGAAATGAAAATATAGGCAAAGCATGATAAAAGCATCCTCTTAGCTATCCATGAAACTTGGTGGGAGAGAATTTAGAATGGCAATAGCAATTTTTAAAGTATGTTTCATTCAAAAGAAATATATCTAACAAAAAGAGACACAGAACTTTAAATAAGAACACATTCAGGGCCTCCCCGGTGGTGCAGCGGGTTGAGCGCTGTGCTGTGAAGCTGTCCACAGCCTCTGCAGCGCAGGTTCAATTCCTGGCTGGCCAGGGAGAAACACACATGGCACAACAGACCTCTCCTGCCTCATCCGCTGCTCCCCTCCAGCAGTGTCTTCGGTCCATCTGACTGTTCTGCTCCCTGCTCTGTCTCTGGTGAATTCTCTCACCCTCCTGTGCCTCTGGCCTGTACCCCAGTTCTTGCATAAATAAATAAATAAATCTTAAAAAAAAAAAAAAAGAACACATTCAGCTACCCCAAAATCAGTAAGTCTAGGAGTGAAAGGTGAAGTGGACGAAAGATGCTTTCCCAAACATAATATTAACCACTGCATATAGATAAGAAAGAAGCAAGTTCTCAACCCCCACACAGCAAGCCTTCTTCACTCACAAGAAGAGCAGGTAGTCATTGTCCCAGCTGTCTTACTGACCACTCCCTAGCTCAGCAAAGAGCTGTGCTTTACACTTCACTTGGATCAACAAGTAGGTATATTTGGTGAGTTGGAAATGAAAGCCCCTTAGATGAGATGCTTATCATGTCCTTCCAGATTTCTAATGACAAGAGATTGGGATGCAGGGTGCTGGCAGACAAGGGGCTTGAATATTAGGAAAGGTTTTTCAAGCTGCAGGGAATAGAAATCATTCTATGAACTGAGGTACCCCAAAATTGATTCTTTAACTTACCGTGCAGCAAAATCATCTGAAGAAATGTTCTTAATTAAATTTTCCTATGGAGGAATAATTTGTAAAAATTGAGTATACAGGTATTAAATGTACATTTATTACCCTACCATGAAAATGAGTTTTGACAAATGCATTGTTTTGTCACCCATGTCACCATCTAGATATAAGACGCAGCTGTCTCTCCAAGAAAGCTTCCCTAGGTTTCTCACTCACACCCAGGATACCCTTCCAAGAGGCAATCTCTGTTCTGGTTTCTTTTTCCATATCTTAGTTTTGCCTACTCTAGAATTTCATATAAATAGAATCACATAGCAGGTACATTATGTGTGGATTCTGTCACTCAGCATCACATGTTTAACAGGGAATCAGTACTCTCTCCCTTTCTCTTCCCAAGTGGCATCTTAGTGTATGGATGGGCTACAAT